GGGCAATGAGGTCTGAGAACTTCTAATATATCCTTTTCAGAATTGAGTCTTATATTCTCCCTATGTTACCCTATAATAGATCCCTAAAGATTCTCCCATGGCAAGATGAGAAGAAACTGTGTACCCATGTAATTAACAGTGAAGTAGGATGAAAGCAGAAATGAAAGTAGGATAGCTTTCATTCCTGCTTTCATCCTACTTTATGTAAGATTCAAGTGCTGATGGCTGCAAACTAATACCACCAGCCCTGATACCTCCTCTGAGATATATCTAACTGACATCTCTACTAAGAATCTAGTAGGCATCTCAAACTCTACATGTCTGAAATGGAATTCTTGATTCCTTGCCTAAAATCCTATTACTCCTCCATTCAGCCTTTCCTATTTTGGTGAGTAACACTTGTGTCCGTTGTTACTTAGACTAAATACTTTGTGACATTCAGTTCCTCTACCCTCCACCATCTGTCCCGTTGAAACTATCAGCAAGTACCATATACTTCATCTCCAAAATATAGCCTAAGGTTGTTTCTTTTCCACATGGAAGTCCATGATATGGTTTCCCTACCTCTGTTCTTATTCCCCACAAGATGGCCAGTGTGAGCTTTTAAAAATGCTTATCGAAATGTGTCACTCTACTCTTTAAACTCAGTTGCTTCTCCCTGCATATAAAATAAAATTATACCTCCTTAAGATGGCTCTTTTTCTCCCCACCCTATCAACCTCTGACCCATTTCGTTGTTTCTTCCTTTTTAAAATCTTTTAATCAATCAACCAGACATAAAATTATCATGTTTCTCAGTTTATTGTGTGAGTTTCCACTCTCCCCCAGAATGTAAACTTCATGAATGTAGAGATCTTGTTTGTTCAGTTCACTGCTGTATTCTTAGTGCCCAAAACAGTGTTTATAGTGAGTACTCAGTATATATTTGTTGACTGAATGAATAAAATTATTATGTGAGTAGAAATGAAATAACATCTGTATGCTTTTGTCAATTTTTACAAGGAAATCAGTAACTTAAAGCTAGGTTAAAGCTGTTTAGCTGTTATAACTTTTTTTCCTAAGAGTGTGAGTGGGTTAGGGCCTGATATGATCAAGGTAGAAGTTTTCATTATAGTTCCTCCTGCTTTTTTACGGGCAACATAAAATTCAGAAATGATGATAAAATAGGTAATTGGAAACTCATATGGATAATCATTTTTCTATGGAAGTTTTATCATCATTACAGTTCAAGTATTAAATAGCTTTTAAGTAAGTTTGTACTTTTTTTTTTTTGTTATTGTAGATAGGTAAATGGCTGGAATTCCTTTACTCACATCCGTCCCCAAAGTCAAACATGAATCTATTTTAGGATGATAAGAAGGGGCCACCCAGAGCATAACTACCTAAGGTGGAAAGTCTTCTGGACCAGGAGGTGGAATGTATCCAGTGCAGATTATTTTAAACCCTTCCCCACAAGGCTCCACCTTTGGAAATGAGAGCATTTAGAATAGTGACATTCCTTCTCCTTGTTTGAGGAAAGAAGAGTTTAGGATTGGTGAAGATAAACTGTTAAGTACTTCTTAGAGACCAGCATACCCCAAAGATACCGTTATTTAGATACCTTGCTCATTTTTAATGCAGTACAATACTAGCCATTTTCTTCTTCATTTAGAATTACTTTTATCCATGCCATTCACTGTAGTTCTTGAAGTCATGATTGGGATATCTGGAAGATACTCATGAGTGATTCATGGGATAACATTATTTCCCTTTCATTCATTTAGCCATGACACACTGAAGTAGTCTTAATTGTTATCATCATCTAGCAAAAGCAAATCT